GACTCAGTTAGCTCTACCTGCATTTCCCTCTGGTGCTTTTGCTATCTTGTCAATATGTCTGTTTGGATTGATAAAAATGTAGAATCGATCTTGGCAGAAGTGTTATTCACACTAGTTCCGGCTTAAAGAGCACAGGCTAGCCATGACTTACGAATAACACAACACAATCTAATTGTGTTGAAGAAAGGAGAAGTTCTAATTGCAACTAGGATTAGGATTTTAATTCTTAATACATAAAGCACCTAACATAGATCCACACTCTTCTCAAATTCTCCTCTCCGCCTCTACTAAAAGTGTACCCCTTGATGGAAAGGAAGAGGTGGAAGGGAGGTCAGTGTCCTGCCATAACAGCACACAGCCAGATCCTCTGCTGACCTGCCGCATGGAGCTGCTGGTTTCTGCAGAGGCATTCTGTCCTTCATGAGTGGACTCAACAGGCCTCTTGCTCAGAAAGCAGACTGCAGCGGAATGGGGTCAGTCAATCTTCCCTCTCTGCCCTCTCCGAGGGAGCGAAAGATAACCTTGCCCTCCCTTCCAGGACCCGATTGAACTGTAAGTTTTGGTATTTAAACAATTTGTTTCCAAAAGTCAACATTTCTAAGGTGGTAAGCACAAACAAAAAATATTTTGAGTGAACTTTGTGTTGAAGGAATGTTTTCAACAGCACCGGGTTTAGGGAGGAAAAACTTCTTCCCATGAGAATCATAAGAGAGAAAGGCAATGTAAATATATACATGTTCAGGTGGGTAGCTGCGTCAGCATGCGTAGGCTGCAAAGGAACAAGTAATAGGTTTATTCCATGCTGAGAAGAAAGAAAACACAACGTTTCGGCTGTGGAGCCTTCTTCTGGTGTCACCGAAACCTTGTGTTTTCTTCTTTTTTTCAGCATGGAATAAACCTATTACTTGTTCCTTTGCAGTACATATATACATGTACATCTAAAATGCAATATAACTAATATACATTGAAACTTGATGTCACCCCTCAGTCTTAAAAAAATTGTAAAAGAAAAAATGATGGGTGTACCGAAAAGTACTGCTGCCTGACAGACTGGAAATTCCTTCATGGTAAGAATAAATACCCATGGAGATTACAGTTATCCAATTGCTAACACTGAGGCTGCTGGAGAAATGTTTAGCCATGCCAGCAGTGCTCATCTCTAGGGATTAAAGTCCATGCTGCAGTGCCATATGGGAACACAGACAATAGATGCACATTTTGTTGTAGGCAAGCTGGCATTCTGGTTAAAGAAAAACACTGACAAGGGCAGACTGCTCTCAATATCCAGGGCTCAAAGTGGGAGTTGCTCTAATCGACTCTTAACCTTGAAAAATGATCGACTGTCTCTAAATCAATACTCTTTGCTTCCACAACAGACTACCTGCAGAGGGTCCCGAGATTGGACGGAGGGATTAGTCTGAGATCCAAGAGATCGACGGACTTAATCTTCTTTTAAAAGCGGATGTCTACGGATTGGAGTACAGTACGCACTCCAGCAGGGTGAGGCGTAGTGCCATCTCAATGTGCCAGACGGCAGAAGGTATCCGGGCAAGAAGTCCGCCACTGGAACTCGAGGAGATCATGTGAAGGAACAGATGCTGCCTAAGCTGTGAAAGTCTGCAGGAAATAGTGAGTGTGACGGAACCAGATGAGAGAGGTGCAGAATGAAAGCTAATTTCACAACAATTGGTGACAAACTTCAGGAAAAGTGCCAAACCTATAGCAGAGTAGATTAAGGAGATTAAGAGGACAAGAGCAAATAATTTCTCTATTAAGATAAAAGATCACCATAATGTATAATACAATGTAAGCAAGTTTCACAATTACATTATTGATTTCAATTGATTAAATAATGAGATTCTGATGTCACTTACAGAAGAGAACCGAAGGTTTACATTACTATTACTTCAACATCACACTAAAGAGCCTGAATTAGCATCCACCGCCAACTTACTGTATCAGATATCCATCTCTAAAGTTCACAAAATGCATTTTCCACTTTGAGAATTGCTATTGTTATAAGCAACTACCTACATTAATTAGTGCTGCTTATAAATTAGGGATGCAATGGCAAATCAACATGAATGTCAAAGAGAATAATGGTTTGGTAAAATGGGCTTATGTATTTTAAAAAATATTTTATAGTTAATATACATAAGGTACTGAAGATCTACCTAAATGTATGGAGTCTCTGAAGCCTTTCAAGTAAATGGTTAAAAGAGTTAAAGTTAAGGTGCTTGCAGCTGGATCTGCATTATAGCTAAACATAAATCTCATTTAAGCCACCAGCCTCTATCTTGCAGAATGACAGAGTAGACAGATTCATAAACACCCAAAATATTCAATCAGCAGTAACCCAGCCAAGATCTCCACTCTTGTTCGTGACTAGAGTACTAGGCATCCGGGTTAGAGGTCATTATTTAACAGAGGTTACAGACAGAAGTCACCTAGTATTCAGTCAAGACAACAATTGACATGCCAATCTTTTAGATGACAAAAGTCCTGAACTCTTAAATTGATAAGAAACAAAGGTTTCGAGACTCCAATATTTACACTTCCTTTACACTTGATATTTTTGCTGTAGAAAAGGCTCTACAAGTAACTACTTCTAACACTGTACATTCTCCATGACAAGACATTACTCAAAGCTGGAATTGTATGAGGCTGCCAATAGCTCCCCTGCTGTTAGAAATGAATGGAAATGAGGATTTATTGATTCCACATGCTGTTCAATTAATATTTAATTATTCTTGCAACAGGAATTTACATGTTAAACATGCAAGCTCTTTTTTACTGTAAATGTTGATTTTTTTTACAGTACATCTTGCAAAGTATGTTTATTTTAACACTTTACACTGTTCTGCTCCTTGTAACAGATGGGGGCTTACGAAAATGTAGATGATAACATTAATAATAATAATAATAATAATAATAATAATAATAATACACACCATCAAGATACAAGTTACACAATTAAAAATTTACAAATAATGCCTCCCAGAGGCCTTATATCCTAACCAGACAGAAAAAAAATAGTTTGCTTACCAAAAGGCCAAAAGAAGAGATAATCTTCCATCTCAACCAAACAGAATACAATCTATAGTTAAATATTTCTCTCTACTGACCTGGATGCCACAAAATGAACAGGAATCTATCCAACTTTCCTAAAAATGCACTCAATATCTAGGAGAGGGCATTTTTAACCAAGTGATTCTTTACACAAGTTCCTTACAACAAGAAAATAGCAAGTGTAGATACAGTGTTTTTCTCCTATGATGCAAGCTTACGTTGTGCAAGTTGGATATAGCATGACTATTAAAGAAGAGAAAAGTATTTATACTGTGCAGATGTCGGTTGGATAGAGAGCAGTTGTGTGCTTTACTGGATTATTTCATTATTTTGTGCTTTTTAAAACTTTTTTTACAGATTCTATACAGATGGAAAAAACTGAGTTACTTTTCTCCTCCTTTCTGTTTCAGGCTGCATTGCATTGTTTTTGAATTCCTACAGACCAACTAATACTTATCTTTCATCTTTATATAAGCTCTAATCAAACCCAACAGGAATGAAGTCTGCTTAGAAGTGCAAAGAGAGGGGAATATTTGGGGCAGCAGTTATGGGTGTAACTCAGGACTGTGGAGTTGATAACACACTTTGTTGGTCAACTGGAGAGATGCGTGTACATCTGTTTCCTCAGGATCAAAATTGATCTCAGAAATGCTTCACTGGAACGTGACTAGGGCTACAAAGTGAGGCAGATCAATAGTCAGTTGCTACCAGAGTCCATCATGTGATAAACCAGATACTGTGGTGTTCTGGCACTTCAAAGGTTACACTTTATCTATCCCAGATGTGAAAAGGAATCCTGCAGTTATATAAAGCACCATTCTCTTATTTACACTTTGAATATATTAGCCAAAATTTCGAATAATTAAAAAAGTTATTGAAGGACCAAGGGCAAGGAAGAAACTTAAACCAACTTAACTGATCCTTGCTTTAATATTATTACATTGTCATTTCGGGATAGATGATCATTATCTTTCTTTTAGATACTGAAAACAAACTTTATTATTAAGAATTGAAAAAAATGCACCTATTTCAGGAACAGGAACTTATTCATTCCCAATTCTGAATTAATGCACAATGTTGTTAATTGTTTATTGTCACCAGTTTGCATCATAAACTGCGCCATTAAAAAAACAACACTAACAGTGTGAACATTTCAGACACATCCTTCTTAGTTCTTCAGCCTTACTGAAAAGCAGAGGGATATACTGAACTCCTGCTACCAATTCTTCAATGAACAGACATTCATGATATTCATTCATTTTTATGGAGTAGACAATCATCAGTTTAAAGATGCCAAGACATTAGTAAGAATGAAGAAAGAGCCACATTGTTCTCATCCTGAGCAATTCACTACACATACACTATAGAGCAAACATCAGTGATTCTGCCAGGAATAAAAAGCAGTTCATTTGCTCAGCTGAATGTACTTACTTGATTTTGCAAGTTTCTAAGAAAGCTATTTGGAATTACTTTTCAATATATACTGTAATTGTCTCATAATGGGCAGCACTGTTACAATAATTGGAATAAGAAGCTTTCCAAGGCTTTTATTGTCAGCAAAAGTGAAACTTTCTAATATTTCACAAGCTACAGTAACACTGCAGCAGATGAAAAGTGGTCACTTAGGACTAATGCAAGCCATGCAACATGAGAACGGATACAGTGCTACATGATGTAACTAATATCGCCTTTTTCTAAAAAAGAAAGGACAAATATAAAATGGTGTTAAGGATGTCACAGAGTGAAAGTGTCAAAAGTGCTGAATCCAGAGCTATCAAATTCAGCCTTAACAAGCAAAATGCCTTAAATACTATACATTAAAGAATACTGTATGTCTGAGAATTTTACAATTTTCTTCCATGAAGTTTTTTTTTCAGTTTCAGTTAAAGGTCCAGTACTGATTCCTAGACACCACTTAACAGGTCACTTACCAGCCTGTCTCGGACCTCTCTTTCTCCTGAAGGCAGCACCTGATTGCAGCGCTTCTAATAGGCCATCCATAATTCCAGTCTCGTCGCCCGCTGCAACAAAAGAAAAACACAGTCAAGACATCATAACATTAAGTAAAGGATTGTAAGTTTACCGCTTCTTGTTCATCAAGGCTGTTTTCAATAAAGTTACCACAGTTCAAAATTCCTGTGTCTCAGTTTCTATGACAACCAGAATAGCTCTTCCACTCATTCAGAATGAATTTCAGCTGAGTCACAGTAGAAAGGCTCAAAGAACTTTGGGGAAACTTGGTATTTACAGGACATTTAGATGATTCATTTCTCCAGGTCTGGTGAACCACTGCATTTCCAAAATAAGAAGTTAATTAGGATTTTATGCAACAACTTTTAGCAAACCCAAAACAAGATGTCCGTTGTTATAACTGTTTCGGCTGGAATTTAAGGCCTACAAAATACAGTATTGAACATTCTGCTTTTTATAATCAGAAAAATAAAATTTAAATAATTAATCCCTTTTGTCCAGTGTTTGACATGAGGTATACCTGAAAATATAGCCTGTACAAGGGCATTTTTAAAGATGCTCTATTTCTACATCAATGCCTTCAGGAGATTACGATTTCAAAAAGACAAAGTCACTACCTGGAAGATTAAATACTATTTCACATTGAAAGTACAATTAATAAATTACATGCAAAAACAAGTATATCGCTATATCATTTACATTTCTTTAGAACCAATAATAAAACAGGCTACAAAAGGCTGGAAATAACTGTTCCCCATCCATACTTCCACCCTTCACACACTGTGGAGAGGGGACAGGACTGTGGACTACAGTCCTGAAGGTCACGCGATCAAATACTGTGTGGGGACACTTCTGCGGGACCCCTGAGCAAAATTCCTCACTAGATGTGTTGCAGTAAATACCCTGCTGTATCAACGGGTCTCTGGGTCATCACTGTAAATAAGAAACTACATACTGGTGTAAAAAACAATCACAAAATCAAAGCCATTGCACCAACTATCGCAAACAAAATGCAAAATCACCAATAAAATGGTATGCCTTCGCTGCTCTCACAGTCTAGAGGCTTACATTAACCCAGATGAGCACTGACCCACTTTAAAATGGGACTCGACTCACTCACACTACTGGTGCTGGAGGGGAATAGTAAGGCGGGGGAGGGGAGAGGCAGGCAGACTGGGCGACACACACAGACCTGATTGAATGCTAAGAGATTAGGATTAATAGTAGAAAACAGCTCACTCTCCAAGTAAACACACTGTCCTTGTGGCACGATGAGGGTAGACGGCCAGGATGGAAACAGACATGCTAATATAGTCTTCTAGTAAAAAAAACATCACAAGCAGATGGGAGCTACAGTAAATATATCGTACATTTAAAAAAAATGAATTTATGACTGGTAAATAAATAAAAAATCAAAGTAGATGGCTAGGGACATCTGGAGGCAGTGGCTCTAAGTGCATTTTTCCCCTGAAGAGATTGCAGGTCACTCGTGATTCAGGTCAGAGCATATAATCCCTTTTTATTCTAAGCTAAAATCTGCCCCCCCCCCCGTCCCTGGAGTGAATCCTTAGTCTGACAAAGACACTGTGCAGAGACAAAAGCAGATCAGGGGAAAATAATCTCTACAATAAGCAAGCAGTTTTATTATCCATCCTGGGCTAGCAGCATCTCCAGGGTAGTGACTTAAGGATAAATCACACCTGGCTAATAGAGTAGAGGCTATATTTCAATTAAAAAAAAAACCTGCCAGACTGATGTGGTGAGCTAATGAAAACAACATTTTCTCAATTAAACCTTTGTATTGCAGTAGCTTCTCTACGTTTTCTACGTATAAAAATGCTCTAGAAAGTAACAGAAAAAGAAAGATGTAAACACAAACACAGCGGCAGGTGGCTTTAATTATTTCCATTCTGAATGGAAAAGGTTAAAGGTTTTAGGTCATCATACCGTCTCAAGAGATTAGCTAATACGCAGCTCTCTGCTGCCACCCCCTCCCCCCCGACACGCACACTTATTCCAGGCCAGTTAACACGTGCCAGATGGGACACGTGCGCGCCTCCGACGTCACTGAGGTAAACAGAAGGGAGGAAATCGCTGCGTGGCTCGAATGCTCCACACTGTGGGTATCTATGTGAACTGCAATGCTGGCGTTTATACAGGTCTCGACAAGACAAAGTACATGACTGTTGTTCCCCTTAGGATTTAGGAAATTACATTTAAAAAAAATCTAAAAAGATGCCTTTTACTTCCATAACATACTAAGAAATGAATAAAAACTGCAAATGGGGAATTATGTCTAGGAGGAGAAAATAGCACTTTTCAAAGAAAAATATTTAACGTAGTCTTCATAGTTCCAGCAATAATTGTAGATGTTATAAGTGATAAAACCTATGATGTATAATTATATACACTTATTACACCTATATAAATATACATATTTAAATGCATGGTAAAGGTAGAGCGATGATTTTAATCTGACAAAGGAGACTAAGCTGTGAGAGGGCCATCCTTGGAATACCACTGAACTGACACCTTGGCAATTAAATATTCCACAGCACTGTCTGTAAAAGCACAGGCATTAACCCAAGGGCACCTGCTATATTCCCATTTGGTACTGTAGTACCTTTCCAATGTGTGTTTCAACCTTAATTCAGCTGAAGTGATTTCTCAATTTTCCACCTGATCTGCTGTATAGATGGACTGCTGGATAATCGCAGTTACATATCAAACGTGTGAACGTTTCATACAAAACAGTAGTGGGTGAGGTGGGCCTCTATATACAGTAAGCAGTGATTTGGGATAAAATGTTATGCAAAGGCAAGAAATTGAAAAGAAAAGAATGGCTGATGTGTAAAACTGTAAATAAAATACAAAATGAGCAACCTTGCAGTACACCTTATGTATTCAGGTAGCTACACTAGGTGTATTGACCACTGACACGTACATTTCCACTCCGACAGATGGGAATGCTAAAAGTCAAGCACTCCATAATTCATTCCAAAACAAAATTCATTGAGCTTATTACAGCTAATTAAGAAAAACTATGTAGCTGCTACTTACAGCAATGTAGTGATTATATTGTAGTCTTTATATTGCCTTAAAATATTAAATTATTCTTACTTAGCAACAAATACCATGGCTTTTCCGTCCAGGGCTATGAGAGTTAATTGAGCTTTTTTTCAAATCCTTTCACATCCTGAATGTCATGACAACAGTGTATGTTGAAAGAAGATGTAATCACATTAGGACATCTGTCACTGGTCTGTAGGGCCTCACTTATTGATAACACTGACATCGTGTGGTTAGAGGTAGATACTGCAACTGACCCACATTTACCCTCGTTACGTTTAAAGAAAACTAAATACTGCACTTCCCAGTATTATTTGGACCTCTACTGATTTTCAACTTACACTATTTGTGAAAAGAAAACTGCAGAAAGTTTAAAAACAGGTCAATGCTGAAAGATTTAAAGACTCATTTTTTAACAATTTGTGTTAAGGGTATACTGCACATTGTCAGTCATGTTTTCTTTGTACTTTCTCCAATGTTCCCCAGATGTTTTTCAAATTAAAATATCTAACTCCAGTGAACCCCACTGTGTTACCAGATCGACATCTGAACATAAAGTGTTGACACAAAGGTAATTATAAATCAAAACAAGTTATTTTTTAACAAAGTTTAACAGAAAAATGTGTCAACACTTTATGTTCAGATGTCAATCTGGTAACACAGATCAATACACAGGTCTGTGTAGGGAACAAAAAATACACAGATTGTGAGGTTTAGTTACATAATGGACATATTTGAATGTTTCCCAAAAATGTTCCCTTTGCCAAACTTTCATAATATCTTTAGTTTAAAATAACTTTAAGTCTTTTCAATATAATAATAACATACACATTACATTTCATAGGAACAGCAGATATACAATCTGCAGTATTTTGCCTTTTTCAACAAGTATGTGTACTGCAATTAAAATGAAACTTAATCCGATACTACCAGCTGGTAGACGGCCTGTATTTTGAAAGTGAAAAGCGTAAACCAAGTTCTTTGTGGCAAAGAGCCATAAAATATGTTTCAAAGGAGCAGAAGAACACTACCAGCTTTTTGGAAAGTTATGTACTGTACAAAGCGTCTTGTATTCAATATTCTTCTGCTGTCCTCTTTAATTATCAGTAATTCTGGATGTGGAAAAAATGTAGGTGCATAGAACCTCTGTTCTTGTGTAAAGCTGAAGGTACAGAAAAGTAAGTAAAAACAGCTTAGAAATGGTACAATAGCTGATGCATATGAGACAATAGCTTCCCACCCCCCGCTCTCTCATCCTAGTAATTATTCATATCCCTGCAGCAGGAAATGAGGGAGACTTGAGACGCAGGAACCCATACGGGAAAGCTGGTTCTAATTTTTGCTTCTTTTTTTAGCAAGTCTGTAACTTGAGATAAGGCTAAGTGGCCCCACTTTTCTACCTATATCAAATAAAGCGGCTTCTAGGGGGGTATCATTGTCAAGTCTTAAGGAAAATACTTTTAAATGAGCCTGGTGTGACTTTAAAAAGGTGTCTCCAAATGTGGCCACATTCTAAAGAAAACAACTTCTGTCATAATTTCAGTGGTGATGCCTTCAAATGGAAACAAGGCATAAAAGTAACAAGGTGTTAAAAGTAATTTTTTAATTACCCTGCCACACTCATATTCCCCCTTTTAATTCAAGTATTCCAGTTCAGAAGTTTAGAAGAATTCGTTTTCAATTGACATAACCTGATGTAAATCTTAGACTGTTTACGACACCATACATGTCACTGGATTCCACAAATGCACATCAGGCCCTTTATAATTTTAACAGGACTCCATAAGACTACTCAAGCCTAAATACTGACTCATTCAAAACATGGTTATGGCTTTAAACCAGAGTCCCCTTTCAGTAAGCCTGACTCATACTTCTGTGTCAAACGTGTTTTTTCGTGGTCTCTTACGGACATTTTTCCTTTAGAAACAGAGGAAAAACAAAAACAGGGAGAGGAGGGGAAGGTGGTGGATTGAAGCCGAGCGAACTCACAAAAATGAAAAACAGATTGAGGAAAAAAGAAGGAGCAGAAAGGCAAACTTCACTTTGCGGGGGAGGGAGGTGAAAAGCATACCAACTAGCACATTCTATTCCTCACGATTACAAATAGTCTTCTGCCCCTTGCAAAGAGGGCAAAGAAGTAAACTTGTAAAGGGAAGTATTTTCTAAAAGCATTTGTCACAATAGTATGGCCTCTTTCTTTAACGCCTGGCTACACAGAACTTGGTAGAAGGAGGAATTTTTCAGCATGGTTAGATTTCGCAAACAAGAGCCAGGGTAACACAGAGATCAGGTGGTGTTTGATTTAAAACAGATGTGGAGTGTACAATGTCCTTATTATGCTACACCAAGACATTCTGGCAGACATACAGTCTCCAGCAAGAGGCACAATATATGCAGGAGTTTTCTAAAGCAAATCAGGTGCAGAGACACCACAGAGGTAAGGAATAATACCTAATAAATTCAGACATGGAAAAAAAGGTATTTTGTACAAACCACTACTGGTTAGGACAACTCTGAACTTGAGCATTATGTAACTTGAAGCATCTCAACTGTCTTTTTATTCTAAATATTACTTTTGAAAATAGACATGGGGAAAAAAGACTTAATTATAGAGCATACTTCAAAAATAAACTGCTCTTTCTTTTTCTGTGGCAAACTTATTGTAACCAGAAGAACTGTAATCATGAAGGTAAATGACGTGTTTAGTTCAGTTAAAAATCAATGGTGTGGCACATGATGCACGAAAAAACGCTTAGATCTTCTGATGCCACAAAGTGCTTTATCCAATTCTAGTTTTAGAACTTACTAGAAATTGCAATAGATACAAAAATGACTTCCCAGTCTATTTGAACTTGTACCCTGTAAATTACAAAGGATCCAAACTCACGGAATACTGTGTTCATGAAACTAAGAATGACAAGTATGAGATGGGCACATTTTTAAACAATATCAGTAAAGCAAAAGGTTCAGATAAGCAAATTAGTATATTTAAGGCCTTCCATCAATAAGAAAGATCAAATTAGCACCCAGCCAGACTTCTGTGATGTGTATAAAGGATCTGTGGATGTTTTTACAATGTGGGCCAGCTGCACATACACATACTGTAGGAGAAGGAAGGCAGGATACTAAAAAATGAGCATCTGGGAAACATTTACACCAGACGCATAATGATGCAGTGGCACCATTCTTAAGGACTGGACATTTTCTTTGAGAAAGACGAGTCCTACAGGAGTGACATTCTTTGGCTGTAAATCATGCAGAGTATGTGGTTAATCAAGGATTGCTAATCACAGTCATGCACTCAAACACACGGACAACAATCTGTGTTTAAAACAAATAGAGAAGGTTTGCATTTTTCTAGTTAAGGGTATAAATATCGCAAATTACTGAAACAGGATTAACGCATTCACAGTAAAAAAATAAAATGAGCAGCTGCCTGATGCTCAACAGGATTAATTTGGCATTCTAACCAAACAGACACGTGCTAAGTCTAATTTCAATTTAAAAATGCAATTAATAGTCAATCGCAAAATTATGTCAATGGTGAAATATCACATGCAGTAATCGATCTTTTCCTAAATTAATATTCTAAAGCTATGCTCAAAAACTGGATTGAACAATCTGAGAGAGATGATCAGATTTATAACACTGAAGGCTCAAGTACCAGGGCTACTTTTGGAAAAGACAGAAGGGAAATCCAGCCTTTACAGAACATTTTACATCAAGGCCCTGAGGTTTGTTGAAATATGAGCCTTCAAATCATAAATATTATAATTATAATTGTGTTGCTGTTGCACAATAACAATGGAAAAAAAGGATTCCAATCATTAGGATGCTAATCATTAGATCACTGTAATGTGAACTACATATTTTTTATTGTATATATTCTTTTTCTCCACGGGAAAGAGGAAAATTGTATTTGTTTTCTTTTTCTTATTTCTTAGGGACGGGGGAGAGGGCAAATACCAGGATGTGTCTTTAAACACAACTTTGAATAAACTTTGTATATTTATATAAGCAACCAGCTGGATTCAAGGCCATTTTTCTTCAGTGTATTTCCACAGCTTGTTCCAGAGCAGCAAATCTGCTAAAAAATGAACTCTGAGCGCCCTCTACTTGTGCAAAATGGTATTTTGCCAACCACAAACTAATTTCTTTCCACTTATTTCACTGCATGTGTGACATTTCCTGGTATTCACCAACAACCACAAAACATTAACTGCATGCTGAATAACACCCTTGGTCGAAACCTTAAATAGATGTTTACAGATTGCCAGTTGGAGTTCTCAAACCAGAGGCTTTTCATCACACACCAAACTACACGTTTATGATGAGGGATGAAGGTGGTTTTGCCAAATCACTGGTCAAGACATTTTAAATAAACGTGGCAGAGCAGTAACAGCAAAAGGAGCATCGCAGCTTCTGATCCTCTGCGGGATCCCAGAGCTCTCATAGGAACAGGATCAGCTGCTTGCCAGAGGATTCATTCCTGTAAAGGGTTCCCGTCTTCTTGTCATTTATTGTCACTTCCAAACAATAAATATTCTGCTGGCAAGCCAACTGGGAGACTTATGATAACCATCACACTTCAAACAGTCTTCCTAGGGACCAGTGCCTTGATTAACCACATAAGCAGAACTATATATTTATATTTCAGCAACAGAAGGATAAATAATGTGAAAACAAGCCTTCTCAGTCTACAGACCACAAACATATTTTTTTTAAATCAGTTTTCTTTAATAAATGTGCTGAACCGACGGATATTTAGAGTACTTTGTACTTATGGGGCTTGTCAGAAATATTATATGAAACACAATTTGTGTTTCCAAAGACAAATTCCAAGACTGGAATTTGGATTTTCTGGCCTTTGCATTTTCTGAGAATATCAAAAAGTGATACACAGTAAGTGAAATAACAACAAACAAGACTCTGAGGACAGCCTTTCTTTACTATTTGAAACATTTCTGCCACTTCTATCATAGTTAAACATGTGCAGTTTAACAGCTGTTATAAAGCAGACTGGTATAGTCAGTGGAGGAGGTGTGGGTGGTTTGAGAAAAAGGCTCCTATAAGTTCTTGTGAAAGTATGATGTTGTAGTCTGTGAGAGGAATCACATCATTTCTCCCTCATTCCTGACTTATGCAGACGAGAGGTTTCTCTTCCCAATGACAACACTCTCCTCCTTACCTGCATTGATATCAATGATCTGGCTCCTCTTCTGCTTATCCTCCTTCTCCCTCTCGGCCTTCTCCTTTGCCAGTTTGGCCTTGCGGATCTTTTCCTCCGTCTCTTTCCTCTTCTGATTCTCCTTCACTGCTTGCTGAAGAGCACAGGAGACATGTTCCATTATGCATCAGCCCACCTGTGAGTCAGGCTGAGGAGAGTGCGAGGAGCAACTCAAGCTGGAAGCTGTGACGACCAGGCGCTAACATTTGCTCATTTTTGTTTTGTGGTAAATGTTTTAAACTACACTTTAGGGTACGATGCTCATTATAAGTTGAATGAATAAAAAGGCATTGAGCCCTTTTACACTAAAGACAATACACAACTTTTAAAAATACAGTATATGAGTTTTAGTCGCTTATACTGTCTCTCGGAAATAGAGCAGGAAATATCTGGGCATCATTGTTCAACTTTGCAGAAAGGGAAGGCTACTGTGGCACTTTACCAATGATTTATTGTCAAACTTAAGTGCATATTTATTATGATGTATATATATGTATCTGGGTGACTGAGGTTATGAATGAAATAAGTGGCCGCTGTGCACCCAAAAATGAGCATGAACAGGCAATCCATCTGCATTTGGCAGTTTGCCATGATACACATACAGCTTGTGAGTACGCTACATTACGCCTTGCTGTATAACCTGCATTACAATAAAGCACCACAATAATTTAGTTTTTAAAAAGGCAATTGTCATTATCTTGCACATTTAATTACTGTATGCATATTATAGATATTAATGTTCGATCAACAGCAATGAAGTGAAGAAAGAATCAACATCCGACTGTAAATCTGTTGCTTGTTTGGGTGAATGCATTTTCATAAAGAATTTCCCTGACAGTTGTGGTCAAAAACTATTTGACTAGAATTTGCAGGTTCACTGAGGATGTGCAAAACAGTTTTTTACAATTATATGAATGTGATACCATTGTGCTTCTCACCTACCTATGAACATATTTCTATTAATCAATTTCTGATTAATTTAAAGGTGTCACTATACAGTGCCTGAAATAAGTGAAAATTAACATAAGGTATGCACATATTTACAATTTTAAATGTTTAGTACAAATCCATCCATATATTGTACTAAGTGCATATACAGTATGTATGTATACATATCCATATATTGTTCTTAAGAAAGGAAACTGAAAATCAGTAATAACTCAAAATAGTGATGAATGACAGCAAGATCTAATGCAGACAATACTACAATTCTTCCATTCAAAGATGATATCTAACAGGCAATGGGGTAGTTGTGTGTGACTAAGTCATGGGAAAATAGAATTGATGACATAAGTGCTTAGCCGACTTGTTCTTTAATAAAGTCAGTGAGAAATGATTCATTCCTGTTAAAATTACTGGTACAAAGGAAACGGAAAACAAAGTAACTGTTTGTATCCCCTGTAATGCGTCAGCACAGGGCTATTCACAACTATCTGACCTTGTGCTCTGCCCCCTTAACAGGACGTCAGTATCTGGATAGTGTAATGCTTGTGTGGAGCTCAGTGAACATCCTGTGTTATTCTTTTTGCCTTGTATCTGGTTCACTTAGCGCAGGATGAGGATCAGCTGTACTGTCTTGCTTTGCCTGGTGCAAGGGAAACAGCATAGCTAATGCTTTTAATGCCACAGATTTGCTTTGTCAGCGCTAAGGTGTTTCTTTCCAACCTCATGCTGATTAAGATTGTCATAACAGCTGTGGCATAGGAGCCAGAAAACCTACCCTTTAAGTGCTACGATAGTCATTAAATGTAAAAAGGGTTAGAATGGAGACAAGACCATTCAGCCCAGCTAGCTTCTTAAGCTGCTAGCAGCTAAGCAATTTAGGATTTCTCCCAGCAATGTCTTGAAAGAAACTAAAATATCAGTTTTGAACAAAGCTTCTTCCAGACTCCTACAACCATTTGTGTAGAAAGCTTCCCTCTGTTTTCCAGTTTAACACCTCTTATTTGCCACTGGAGTGCTTTGGTTATTGTATTATTGCTGATTCTAAGAAAGTCCATTAGGTTGACTTTTAATGATCATACTTTTAAAAATCACACATGGGTGTCACTGTTCATGAATGAAAAAGACTAAAAAATGCCTAGTTCTTTGGGTTTGTCATAGCAAGACATTCCTTTAAGTCTGGGAATGTATTTGGCAGCTCTTCACTGGACTGATTCCAAAGCAACGAAATATTTTTACACAGTGGCAAAACGCTACACAATATTCTGAAAGAGGTCCTTTGGGAGCTCATAACATTTTAATATTGACAACTGACTCTTTGGTTTAACATTACTCCTCCACATTGTCTAGAAGATGAAACTGATATATTAGCATAAACAACTTAAGTCATTTTAAGCATCTTCAGGGTCAGTGTTTTTAGTATGTATAGTTTGCACTGTATGTCTGCTGCTTGCAGTGATTTTCTTGGATTAAAGACTTGTCTATATTAAATATTATAAGCCAGATGACATTTCAGATTTCAATACAATTCTGATAGTGTGTTGAATCAAATCAAGCTGAAATGAAACACTACCTGGAACATGTTCCTGAAATTGTTGAGGTCCCCAAAAAATTCCTCCACAGAGATCTTCTTGGGGTTAAAGACAAAATAGGTCCCTAAGTCCTCATACTGCTTCTCCATGTTTTTGTGCATGAGGGCCAGTAGGTCATACTGCTCTCGTGCAGAGGACACAAAGCTGTGCAAACCAAGAGTTAAGGAATCACAAGTAAAAGACTCAAAGCAGGTGGTTTACATGAGCAAGGGTTATAAAGTACAGGATATATTCACTCAGAAATAAAACAAAAATGAAGTAAGAAACAAACACCATTCTTCAACATTTTTAGGTTACTTAAATATGCTATAATTTTGGATGAGGTTGTACATGCAAAATGCAAAATAGTTTTTTGTGAGGAATGGGGAATGGGGAATAAAACACAACCATAAATACTATAATATGAATCATAACAGTTTAAACAATGTGTTCAATAAAGTTGTAAATAATGTTCAATAATGTTTAAATGTTGTTTTCAATATTGACATGAAATACAATTGTTTGCGTGTTATTATTAGTTTAAGCATATTGTGTTTGTCTAATATTGTGACTTAGTTGAAGATCAGACCACATTTTTATGAGTAATTAATGCAGAAATCCAGGTAACTCCAAAGGGTTCACAAACTTTTTCGCGCAACTGTACTTATATATGAAACATAAAGTTTATAATATGAATCCATGCAGTACTGTCAAAAGCTCAAAGAGTAGATGAAACACTAAAATTGTCTTAAATTTAAAAAAAAGTGTCACTGATATTAAAAAATAAAGACTTTTGGAAAACCTGCAATGAAATGTGCATGCTCAGAAATGCTCAAAAGGCACATGGCTAAAGCACAACACTAAACTAAGGGTATCCAACCTAATACTCATAGTAATATCATTGTATCAAAGACCAAGATAAAATAATTAGGGGTTCCCGTTTTCACTCTGACCCCTACCTTAATGTTTTCAGAAGTAACACATGTTCCAATATATCATGTGCCTTAACAAATGGATATTTATATGAGGTACCTCCAACAATCCAAAAGGTGTCAGGAAGGAAAGATAACTGATCTCTGAACACAATCAGAAAAAAGTTTAAAACAGGTTATAACTCCAGAATATATAGAACATAGTATACTCTAGAAGAGCTAGAATGTCTCTTCTATGATTTGTCATGTTTCAGTACAAATCAGATCATCGGTACACCCCTAGAATATTTGCAAAAAGAAGATAAAAGACCTCAAATGCCAAGCCTACAGCAACCAATGGCACCTTTCGCTTTCAAACTGGTTCGAGTAAAATTAATAATGTCACAAAACATTTGTTCCTTGTTATCTATGGATCGCATTTCCGAGGTTTATTTTAGTTTGAGGAATAAGCAATCAGGGCAATCCTGCATGATTAAAAGAACAAGACTCGGGGCCTCAGTATCCTTCACTTAATTTCACGAGGAGCTATAAGTAGAAAGCTTGCAGAATACTACTGTATTTTAATATTAAAAGTGTTCCTTTACTCTTTGATATAGATTTTTTTTTAATGGGCATTTAACGTTTGGCATGGAGACATCTTTCAATATAATTTGAGTGACCTGTGCCACAGGTCAATTATATATGAATTTTTGCAATTTAATATTAGGCTACATTCCATCACAGAACACGTTATGAATACAAAACTTCAGACAGAAAAGTTAAAGCAATTCCTTGCTTACCCTGTGTAGTAGATTTTAATGCTGCAGGGAAATTACCTTTATTTACAGTATAAGAATAGCACTGCCATGCTGTGCCCTACCACTCGGTGTGTAGACCAGTCCTGTTGTGCTGAAAGCACAACAAGGCCATCTGTTTCATCTGCACTTTTGCCAAGTGTAAAAATCAACAACTAAATCATGTATTATAAGAAAATAAGAAGAATTAAAAACTAGAGACAACCATTTGGCTTCTCTCATTAAAAGTATTTGGTAGCATCATAAAATTCTGTAACAACATGTGTTTAGCTGTTTAGGAAGAAAAACGTTATGCACTAAGACAGTCCAAGATACATGCCATACTAAAAACTGTTCATATAGAAATAGGAATTTATTCACTTATGAATGGAAAAATTATGTATGAAGTCAACATTTCAATAAAATGTGCTGACCAGCAATAAAATAAACAAATATCAATTAATAAGCACCAAATTAATGGAGCATCATGACTGTGCATCTTGAATTACTGCATGAACTTTCTTGCTTTCTGCCTTAGCCAGCCTACAGCTGTGGTGTTATTGACAGGCAAGGTGCAGTTGAAAATACATAGTTGCACACTTGCAAACTTCATGCTTGCAACTCCAACAAAGATGAAAGTGCTGGTTAAGAGAAGAAAGTCTCAAAAAAGTAGAGGTAGACAGTGTAAGAGTCAATACATGATTAAGCGAGCACCGAGAGAGAAGCTTTGTATGCAGCTCATTAAAATGAATGATCTGAACAACTACATCCCAGCAAATGGGTTTTGGGAAGAGACTGAAACTGGGGCTTTAATCAATGGAAATGCAGTGTCATGACAAAATCTCTTTTCAGGAAGTGCCAAGTCAAAAGGGGGAGGTGGGGAGGGGGGGTAAATGTTTTTATAACTCTCTCCAAAAATATTCCATTACCCACTGCAAGTAAAACCAAGATATCTGCGGAAAAGCAGCATCTTAAAAGGACTTTTAAAAAACTACATTTGAAAATTCTAAAAATAACTTTAATGATTGAACTTTAACTTAACCAATAACATATAATGTTATGTTTTTCTCAGATTTAATAAGACTAGAAGGTTTTTGTTTTTGAATAATTTAATGTGAGATACTTCTGGAAGGATATGTTAACAAACCAAAGACCTTAGATTCAGCTGGTATTTGAGGTTATCCGAATCTCCAAATTCAACATATGGAATCAGTGCTCACCAAGCATTATGTATGTTACTGTTGGGGTTTTGACAACTCAGAAGGAAGTCAGGCTGAGCCATATTAAAACCCAGCAAATTTAACATTTACACAATTTTAGATACAAATTTCAAAATGTCCCTCCCTTAATCTATTCTAATCCATTCTCAGGCACATTAAATAAATGTACCTCCACCTCTCCTTTAATAGTCACAAATGATTACATTGCAGTTTAAGAAAGGATATTGTCATCTTCTCCACAAACTTATCTCTTTCATCTGTTGGAGGAGGGAAAGTCTCAATTTCTTTTTCCAAATTCGTGATCTGCTTAGACATCTGGTCTATGGACTTCTGTAGTGTTTCGGCAGGTACTGGATGGCAGGAAGACAAACATAGTCATAGGTCATAGGTCACGGTGAGGAAAAACACAAAACAACTCTTACTTATCACTAGATTGTGTTAATTATAAAACATTTACCAGTGTCATCGTGAAAACCTTACAAACTGTCTACCCCTTATAAAGAGAGATTTACTGTTTACTTTATAAACAAATCTACACCTTACTCTGTAAATGGGATTTAAATTGCAATTTTCTAAATATGCAGGTATGACTGAAAATATATCATATTGAATGTTCATCCCTAAATTCTCAGTGACAAGTGGAATAGTACCAGTTTAATTTAATTTTTTTAATTTGATATTTTTTTATGTGATGTATAAGCAGATGTTATAGCCAAACAAAAATGATAATTTGGTAATCACCGTGTGGAGAAGAACATAACATTTAAATCTGAAAAGGAAATATATGAAACTCTATACTGCACTTTTCTATCTTCACATTTCACATTTCCTAGCTTGATCACTTGAATCAGGCCCTAAATCAACAGGGCAAATTAATCTGCCAGTGCTGTCATACCTCGGCTTGCCTTCTCTACATGAATCAGCTCATCAGTAAAATGCAGCACCTCAGGATACTGCTCCTGACAAATTTCCGCCAGGAAGTGGAGGAGGGTCATTTTCTGATCGGTGGTCTTGGTGTCTCGAAGCTACGGAGAGAAGAGGGAAGCAGGGGTTCAAATTCTGACCACTGAAATGAGATCTGGAAGCAAACCAAAATGAAAGAGCCTGCTTTTCTTAGAAATCAAAGGGCTTGTAGTACAAATAAAACAACACACTACTAACAACAACTGATCAAAGTTATAAGGCTTTTGTAGTCAAAACATGTAAGTTTAGCAAAAGGACTGATAATGCTAAAACCGAAGAGCTGTTAAACATGTATTTAAAAACAAGAAAAAAACAAATAAAAACAATAAAAGAAACTATATATTAGTCTGAAAAACTGGAATTAAAAACTGTGTGATAGTTAAGTTAACAAATTGAATGTACATAAGGCTTCCGGCTTTTAACAATGCCTAAATGTGATTTGTTAAATCAGTGTGATATTGGAATAGTCATAAGCCTGCAACTAAAAAAAATATCACAAGTATAAATAATTATTAAGAATAAACTGTTATTACCTATATTATGTGTGGGTTGCGGGTTACAAAACAGACTGGCTTTCATTGTTCATAACTACATGTAATTTACAGGAAAAGACTGTGAACCTCTTATTTCAGTATCTTCAGTTCAGAAGGCTTGCCTTTGAATCACTTATGCAGTAACTAAACTGGGCCTTAACTATGTGCCTCTTAGAAATATGTTTTAGTTAAGCTTTGGATATAATACTGACCTTCTCCAGTGTGAGAAAAATGACTGCAATATAGAGGAGGGAAAACTCAAGGACTGCAGTGCAATTCGAGACTAAATACGAGTTGGTAAAATGTCAATGTATTGTCTCTATAAACAGCTGCTTAACAACATATACGTGAACTCAAGTGGTAGAAAAACAAAGCCTCGACAATAAGGTTGGTCAATCCAAGCGGGAGCGCGTGTGGCTCTGGGACCTTACTTTGCAGAGGAAGCTGATGCTGAAACCAAAGGCACCGGCGTTTCTGGAGCCTGCATTCATGTAGTTCCCGACCAGCAGGGTGAGCTCCAGCAGCTTGGCGAAGCTCTCGCTCTTGCGCAGCTCCTCGCAGGCGGCGGTCACGGCCACCACGTCCGGCTTGATGTTGTTGAGCTGCTCGTCGAAGAGGAGCTTGAACAAGATGGAGGTCAGGCGAGATCGCAGCCTGGGCACCGCGCTCATCTGCAGGGAAACAGAAGGCGAGATCGAAAGAAAGGCTAAAAACGGCAGGGGGGGCGTCCGGCCTACCCAGCCAGTGAGGTAGGTTGATGCGAGGATCTTATCCGAACATTACTTGAAAAAACTATTACTAAAGGGAATGATCTTAAAAGTTTCAGTCTTTACGTGCATAAACTGATCACTGTGTTCTGCAGGAAGAAACAATAATGTTCTTAATACATACAAGTAAATCAAATTTTCGCAGTGCAATGGTAACAACCAGCGATCTCGAAAGCTCAAAAAAGCCCAATGCCTTTTGCTTTTCACTGAAGTAAAAAAAAAAACTTTCACTTGCAAGTTTTTTTATGAAGATTAGTCCTTTCAGAGTTACATCTACAAAATTGCTCACTGCTTACGTTAGCGTCAGTGGACTCACCACAACGCCAAACTGTTCTGATTCCGCCAAGTCGTCGTAGTCATCCTTCAACTCAGCCAACACATTGAGCTGGTCTTGTTCTGGAAGCTGTTTAACCAGGTTCTGCACAGCACAAATTCAAAGGTGGATTGAGTGAAAGGATTTACAAATTTGTCCTCACATTGTTTAATTATATGCTAATATACATCAGGATGGCTACACGTGAAAGGGAGATGTTCAGCCCATCTAGTTCATTTGGTTTTTCAGTTGCATACTGATAAAAGCATATCATCCAGCTGCTTCTTGAAAGCAGCCAGGGGTTTGTCAGCAACGTGACTAGGAAGCTAGTTGCATTCTCCTACAGGTATCTGTGCAAAAGAAGAGCCTCCTGTTGTCCATAAATTTAAATGTACATCCATGTACAGTACAGTACAGTAGTTTCACTGTTGATTATGTTCAATGGTTGAGGGCCTTTGAGGATTCTAAATACTTGAATTAGGTCCAAATCTAATCTTCTCTGACTAAAAACGTTAGATTACTTCAGCCTGTTCCTTTGAGCCAGGGAATGGATCTCTTTGTGCTTCTCTGGGACTGATTCTTGAACAGAAGTATCTGTTTTGTACCTTGTTGGCCAAATTGGTACTCAGTATTCCAAATGAGGCCTTAAAACTCCTATTTTAACATAACATCCCTTGACATGAGTTGTACACTTTTAACTATCCTAACATTCTGCTTGGCTTTTTACTGCTTCCCCACAGCATCTAGAATATGAAAATAATGAGTCTACATATACTTTCTTGCAATTAGCCTCTCGAACCTCAGTGTTTTATGTGTTATACTTAGTAGTTTATGCTTTTTTCTTACCTGAATTCAAGACCCTGCACTTATTTACAGTAAGTGACTGCAGTGACTGACTGTTGCAGAAGTAATTAACCACCTCGTTTATGAAACTGTTGATTGGGCACAGTTGTTGTGGTGAATTAACTCTTTGGATGTCAAGCCTGGTGAAAACCAGGAAAGAAAAACTAAAAAACATGACCCGTTATCAGGAGAACAATGCTTTTGAGCCATCTGTATGTTGATGGCCAAACTAAGTCACTTCAAATGAACTCAGCTGGAGTCCTTTTAAGTGATGAATCAAAGTTCTGTATGGACCACCCTGAAAGAAGCCAGCGAATGTGTTGCAGATGTGCCAAATGATACGCTAACTGTTGTGTGCAACGGACCAGTTGATAGCAAGATCCCAGCGTGGTGGTCTGGACAGGAGTGTCTATTGATTGCAATTTGATTACTTGACTCCATTTGATTACTTGATTACATAAAACCATCAAAAAACTAGAGTAACATTCAACCTCGAGCATACAAATAAACACATTAAATATTTTTAAGAATCAACGTCTGTATAAGATATTTAAAAGGTGTGTGTGTTGTCAGTAAAAAAAACAAAAGTCCATGAATACCATTACATTAAAAAAAAGATACATCACATAACAGCCTGGATTATCTTTTCAAAGCGGACATTAGCGTTCCTTGAAGAAATACTCTGTGCAAAGTATAAGATGCTTAAGCATCATCAGTAGACTACAAATAAGATTAGAGGTTAAGCTAGTACTGGAAAGTACAAATGGCCTGTCAGTTAGGCTTTTATAAACTGTAATAGAATGTCTCACTGCCTAAAAGACTTCCAGCATTCACAGGCATGCTTTAAGAACATGTATTTTTTAATAAAATACACAAATGAACACAATAATGCATTGTATTTCAGCTTGCAAAAGAACTTTTAATTATTCAAGGGGATGCAGCAGGATTTCATCTCAATTTGACATCATAAGGGGAGAAACCTTTCAATGGACTGGAAGAGAATTATATGATGTACAGGTGCAAATGCATAAAACACTGCCTTGCAAAACAGCAAGGCAGTTTCAATAAGCAGTTCTGACCTTACTTTGAACATTTCATTAAAATAATTATTTTCAATAATGTAGTTCATGTCTAATTGAGTCAAGGCAATTCATAGCACACATTTGAACATTTTTAATTACCAGCATTCTTAACCTAGAGTCACAAAAGACTTCTAAAAATAACAATAAAAATGCATTTTGTTGTTGTGTACAAAATAACAAAATACCACCATTTAAATCTAAACAGTTGTGTAACATTTTATCCTGTTCAAAATATTATCAGGTTAAAATATGTACTGACAAGTATCACAGTTGACAGTTAATTATCTTTTAAAAGACAGTGATGTGATGTGATATTATGTGTACTGCAAAAATAGAAATATTGAATATTACCAAGTATAAAATCCATTTTTATGTTACAATATTCTATTTGCAAAATGATCGAGAAAACATTTAAACTTCTAAATTACAAACCTGAGTCTGAGCAAAGAACACATAAAAATAGGAAAATTAATTACCTGCACCATGGATTCAGTGAGAACTTTCTCATTCACTTCCAAAATGACATTCTTTATTTCTTCATATGGGAGTCGGAAAGATCCCAGGAAGATAGCTGGTGAGAAATCACATCCGCAAAAGAGGAAAAGGTAGGTCAAATTAAATACTGTGATTTTTCCCCTTAAAAAGAATAATATGTTCATGTTCATTCAGATAAAGTGTACATCTATAATCTGTGTTAAAATCCCCTTGTAAAACAGCACAGAAACATGTGAGACATTATATCCTATTCTAATTGTGTATAGGGGTTCTAGTTTATTTTAATATAAACTTAGGTTTTCATAAATGCTTTATGTACATATTTGTTCCCAGCACACATTACTGATGGGGAATTACATTTACTGGTTTATAATCCTGGCTGGAAGACTATATATACGTGTAGATTAAAATGTAAAAGATATATGAACTTAAAATGTTACCATCAAATGCAAAACCCTCCAAAAACTACTGCTGCAGCTGGTACTAGGTGTTTGACAAACGCTGACAAAATCTGCTCCATTAACAATTATTTTTTTAAACAACAAAAATAAAATACAGACACAGCACTCACAGAGATTTTGTGCTGTTTTGGAATCCAGCACTTTCAGTTCTTTGACTTTCTTCTTTTGTGCTGTTTTTTTATCATCAGTGCTATCCTGGTCTTTCTTGGCTGTAAGAAGGAAGACAGGAGATTAATACAGATACTTATTGCTTATAAGATCACTTTATTAGCCCTATACAATTTGTCTTTTAGCACACCCCAGCTTGCTCTCCATGGGGTCAGAATACAGGGTTAGCCATTGTATAGCGCCCCTGGAGCAGTTATGACATAGAAGGAGGATTTCGTTTTTTTAATACACTGTGTATCAATTTACCATGCATTTGAAATCACACAGTTTGGTGGCTCCATTTTCAACGGAAATGGATTTCTCAGTCTACCAGACTGCAAATGCCAAAATTGTAATCTAGCTACAAAAACAGATTGAGGAAAATGTGAAAACTGAAATTGCACTGATTATATAATCATCATTTTGCTGTTAGGTGGAAATAAGGATGCTTTTAATTTGATCAAGAAAAGACATTCACCCTTGAGGTAAATGTAGCTAGAGTGCCATATTAAAGAGCTGGGCAAATCCTTAGAGGTTAAGAGATTCAAGAATCGTGAGTAATATTCTGCACACTTTTACATCCATACATACTATCATATATAGTATACTAAATATATATTTGTTCTTGTTTCTACAATTTTTCTAAAAGTGCCTCACTCAGTGAACATTTCCAGTCAGTCCCTTTGAATTACTGGATTCTTAAACAGGAAGATCCCCTTGTGTGTGTATATCTTCCACTAGCCTGACATGGTAAGTGCACACTGCTGACAGACATATTGCCGCTAATGGAGATCTGTATATAGAATTTGGGAGAGGGAGAGCATATTAGAAAGGGGTAAGAAAGCATAGCATAGTAAGAAAGGGGCCCAACTTATGTGCAGCCAGTGCCCTCTGTGTGTCATTGTCCTGGTTAACTGGAAGAGTAAGCCCATGTTTTAACACCATAAAACCATCTATCTGCCTTCCAACAAGCTTCTGTGAAATGCCTCCCCTCCCTCCTCTCCTCCCCCAACACACTGAAGTCTGGAGGGGAAGGAACAGCTCTCCTGAATGTATAACCTAAAGAAGTCAATTGTCTGCCCACGACATCATGCTTGCGGTAATCACATCTGTGAGATAAATGTATTGTATTATATTGATGGAGTGCACTCATTTTATAAATGGGCCGATCTCAGGGAACTGAGGGCACTTGCAATCATTTACCTCCTTGCAATCTAAATCTATTTGATTGAGCACACACAAATCGGTCAAATATTTGAACCATGTATTTAAAAGCTTGAATATTCAATGGCTGATAGATTAAAAACTAAAAGAGATTTTTACAGATCATTCAATGATTGCACACTACTCAGTTGTAATCAATTTTAAAACATATTTTAGGATATTCTGCAACTTCATCTGATCTACCATATTAATATGGGAGACAATCCGGCACCCAAATTACCATTCCGTGAACAGTATTTCATGTGACCACCTCGTTTAGAGAAAAAAAACTTGCAAAACAAATTACTTACAATGCAGTGATTGTAATTGATGAGGTCTGTATTTATGTCAACAGACTGAAGCAGACATCTGTTAATAATGGGGGACTGCTCTTCTAACACTAAGGTCAGCATAGTGTGGAATATTAAATTACAAGCCTACATACCCTTACAACAGGGTTATGTCTTTAATCATCTAATTTTCCTACATGCACAGCAAACACGTACTACTGCTTGTAAAGTTCAGGATAAATAAGTTCAGGAATAAATAGCTCTGGAAAGAAGGCCGTAAAAATCTGTCCAGTGCAGATAAAAACATTAACATTATAAACATACAATTATTAATGAACCAAAAAAATCTACTTTAATTTACTTTTTAATTACTGAACTGAAACAAGGTCAAAGTACTGGCTCGATCATATTCGTATGTTCGCTTTCAAATTTACGTCCCTTTTGTAAGACCAGCAAGACCATTTTCTTAGTCAGGTTAGATGCAGATGATTTCACTCTTCTCTTTATGCTTTAGTTAACGTACGCTAGAAACCAAACGTTACAAAACAGATCTTTTCACACTATGACACGAACTGCTTTTTATGATGCAACTAGTTTTTATTCATAATGGACATTTACGCAATTCACTTGAATTTAGACTGAATCCGTCCAGATGGCAAACTGTGGAAACAGTATAGTGAACAGATGTCCCTCTATAATGCCAACTCAGTGATTACCTCTGTGCTGTCCAGACATTTGCATGTATCGCCAGACTGAGCCACTACAGACTGATCTTTTCTATTTAAGAAACTTAAAGAAAGAGAGCATCATTCAGCAAGAAATAAGGAGCTATCTTGACAAAGCACAGACGTAATCTGAAGTACGCCACACAGAAGGAGTAGAGCCAAGTGTATCACTGTGTTCAAGGAGCTTTTAAATGCATATCATTGATCTGCATTTCTGCTCACAGCACAGGAAGGGTATCAATTATCCAAAATCCATAAATAAAGTGTTTAAACTATCTGAATAGTTCGCAAACTTTCCTGAAACCTGAGTTATATATCTATGAGACAATAGGAAACCACAACATGTGTCAACTACATATCTAATGTGTATCATATCTAAAAGGAGCTTGCACTAATTATATAAAGCCTGTATAATCACTACCATCATTATTTTAAATTCCACACATTTTAAAGAGTTTTTTTTATTTACTTTAAGCTAATTACGGACTTAACTGTGACAAAACACAGTCAAAAGCAGATAGGTTGGAATGAAAAAAAAAAAAGCCTGGCACAAGCAAGTACTGGCTGCAGATGTCTATGGAACACGACCCACATTTACATACGCTACAGTGTCCGTGACCAAACCGCCTTTTGTTCCTGCATCCTGTGAAAACAACTTCCAGATGGACTGCAGGTCAGCCTGCCTGACCGAGGGGTCAAGTCAGCAGCGAGCTCACCCTACACCTCCTCCATGTCGGCTGCTCACAGCACACATTCCTCATGGTAAAGGCTCAGGGAAAGGGGACCAATAAATAAGCAGGAGAGACTAAACCCGCTATTCCGCAAAGCCCTGCCCATGACAATGCAGTGTAAACCCCCTTGAACGAGACATAAACAAAATAAAACTATTCATGCGGTCACAGCCAAAACGAAGTAATGATGCTGAGAGCTCGATTCCACAGGTTCAGAAGCACGTGCCAGGCAAGAGACAGTCTACTTTTGTGACGGTCTGTTTTTGTGGACAAAAATGACCCAGCAAAGAAAGACGCCTTTTAAGAATTTTCTCCAACGTGGCCAGGGGTCCCTGCAGACACACTCTTAATGTAGCGAGGCAGTAAAAAAAAGCAGGAGGCTGTGTTTGCTCACGAACAAGACAAGGATGAAAAAACCTTTCAGGAACCTCACCGCACTATTCCTAAGTCCCGTGGGTAACAACCACCGTCACAAAGGACAGGTGGTCAGAAGCAGCCATGATTCACTCAAATACTGCTCATTAGCTCTACACACCTTGGGGACACCCCATATCTCAAGGGGACCAGTTATGTAACCTCATTTTAGACCCCGCTGTAAAACAGGAACAAATAAAGGAGGTGCTGTTTACTTCAAAACCAAAATCTGGCAAAATAGTAGTTTCTATGACGATGTTTATAGAGGCTTCATATTTTATTGTCTTTGTATGTAGCATAGAGCCAGTCTTTGTAACTGTTGAATCTTCAAAGTTATTATGTTTAGTGGAAATGACACGCAGCATTCATGTTTGTTTAAATAAGTCTTTAGAAATCCGAATGTTACATCACATCACATATCATAATTAAAGAAAATAAGATTTTATGAGAGTAAATTTGCATTTACAATCCACTCATTTAAAAATAATAAATTGAATAATAAATTAAAACTACAGTACATTTAAGAAAGCCAAAAACCTCAGCCTGAAACCCACACCACGAAATTAAATCTGTCCCTTTAAATCCTAACATGGAAGTGTGTCAGTGTGCCTCTGTGTTTGCAGACACCATGTGCTCAGCATTATCCACTCTGATAAAGCAAAAAAGACACCCAGTTCATAAAATGGGGTCTGTGTATGAGAAATGCAATACCACGAAATGGCTGAACACTGAAGCGAATGTCTCAATTTAATGTTTTCCACAGCTCAATTGCACACCCCTACTGTCTATCAATGGCATATACAGTACAGACACACACAATACTGTAAAACAGAATACAGTAAGTGAATGTCGATCCAGACATACTGCAAGCACACTACCTAAGCAACTGCATGACGTCACTGAAAAGTGACAGATTTAAAAGCAAGCCAGAAACACTGCAATACATTTCAAAATTCTTAAAATAACTTTAATGTCTAATGTCATATACTGTATGAGCTTGTAAAACCTTAGCAAATACTACAGATGGAAGACACAATTTCATTAATTATTACAACCGAGGAATAAAACAAAAGATGCCTTTAACTCCTGGTTTAAAATGCTGCTGTATGTTTTCAGGCAGCATAGGATATATGATACACACTGATCTTGGTCTACACTGTATATATATATAAATAATGATGCTTAATAACTGCTTTTCATATGCTAAGCCCTCACTTAAGCACAGATGTTAAAGGACATATTGCTGCTTCTCAAATCTGAAAAGCCCCTTTTTCTTCATTGACAATCCATGAATAATAACAATCTTAAAAACTGTATAACTACTTGCTACTAAAGTACAGCCAGACATTGCTAAAAACTGGTGAGCAAAAGATAAGGCAGTACATTACCGATCTATTCCTATTCTTTGAACCTTCACAAAATCTGCAACTGAAAGCACACCATGTTATTGATGCTATGTGGTGAGGTCTGGGGGAGAAACCCACCTCGTGAATCACTCGATATAAATGTTCACTGTCATATGATTTTCTTTTTCTGATACCTTTCTTTTCTGGCTGCTGTCACAATTGCCAGGGTTTTTTTTTTTTCCGTGCCCTTTTCATCTTGTACATCTCCTCTGCCCTTCATTCTAATGCCATTAGTAACACCCAGGTTTTTTTTTGTAACTTTTTGTTCTGCTCAGCACTCTGACAAAGTCCTC